ACCATCAGTAACAACATGCTGGACACTGACCAACATGACCATCAGTAACAACATGCTGGACACTGACCAACATGACCAGCAGTAACAACATGCTGGACACTGACCAACATGACCAACAGTAACAACATGCTGGACACTGACCAACAGTAACAACATGCTGGACACTGACCAACATGACCATCAGTAACAACATGCTGGACACTGACCAACATGACCATCAGTAACAACATGCTGGACACTGACCAACATGACCATCAGTAACAACATGCTGGACACTGACCAACATGACCAACAGTAACAACATGCTGGACACTGACCAACAGTAACAACATGCTGGACACTGACCACCATGACCAACAGTAACAACATGCTGGACACTGACCAACATGACCATCAGTTACAACATGCTGGACACTGACCAACATGACCATCAGTAACAACATGCTGGACACTGACCAACATGACCAGCAGTAACAACATGCTGGACACTGACCAACATGACCATCAGTAACAACATGCTGGACACTGACCAACATGACCAGCAGTAACAACATGCTGGACACTGACCAACATGACCAGCAGTAACAACATGCTGGACACTGACCAACATGACCAGCAGTAACAACATGCTGGACACTGACCAACATGACCAGCAGTAACAACATGCTGGACACTGACCAACATGACCATCAGTAACAACATGCTGGACACTGACCAACATGACCATCAGTAACAACATGCTGGACACTGACCAACATGACCAACAGTAACAACATGCTGGACACTGACCAACAGTAACAACATGCTGGACACTGACCAACATGACCAACAGTAACAACATGCTGGACACTGACCAACATGACCATCAGTAACAACATGCTGGACACTGAGCAACATGACCATCAGTAACAACATGCTGGACACTGACCAACATGACCAACAGTAACAACATGCTGGACGCTGACCAACATGACCATCAGTAACAACATGCTGGACACTGACCAACATGACCAACAGTAACAACATGCTGGACACTGACCAACAGTAACAACATGCTGGACACTGACCAACATGACCAACAGTAACAACATGCTGGACGCTGACCAACATGACCAGCAGTAACAACATGCTGGACACTGACCAACATGACCAGCAGTAACAACATGCTGGACACTGACCAACATGACCAACAGTAACAACATGCTGGACACTGACCAACAGTAACAACATGCTGGACACTGACCAACATGACCAGCAGTAACAACATGCTGGACACTGACCAACATGACCATCAGTAACAACATGCTGGACACTGACCAACATGACCATCAGTAACAACATGCTGGACACTGACCAACATGACCATCAGTAACAACATGCTGGACACTGACCAACATGACCATCAGTAACAACATGCTGGACACTGACCAACATGACCAGCAGTAACAACATGCTGGACACTGACCAACATGACCAACAGTAACAACATGCTGGACACTGACCAACAGTAACAACATGCTGGACACTGACCAACATGACCATCAGTAACAACATGCTGGACACTGACCAACATGACCATCAGTAACAACATGCTGGACACTGACCAACATGACCATCAGTAACAACATGCTGGACACTGACCAACATGACCATCAGTAACAACATGCTGGACACTGACCAACAGTAACAACATGCTGGACACTGACCACCATGACCAACAGTAACAACATGCTGGACACTGACCAACATGACCATCAGTTACAACATGCTGGACACTGACCAACATGACCATCAGTAACAACATGCTGGACACTGACCAACATGACCAGCAGTAACAACATGCTGGACACTGACCAACATGACCAACAGTAACAACATGCTGGACACTGACCAACATGACCCGCAGTAACAACATGCTGGACACTGACCAACATGACCATCAGTAACAACATGCTGGACACTGACCAACATGACCATCAGTAACAACATGCTGGACACTGACCAACATGACCAGCAGTAACAACATGCTGGACACTGACCAACATGACCAGCAGTAACAACATGCTGGACACTGACCAACATGACCAGCAGTAACAACATGCTGGACACTGACCAACATGACCAGCAGTAACAACATGCTGGACACTGACCAACATGACCAACAGTAACAACATGCTGGACACTGACCAACATGACCAGCAGTAACAACATGCTGGACACTGACCAACATGACCATCAGTAACAACATGCTGGACACTGACCAACATGACCAGCAGTAACAACATGCTGGACACTGACCAACATGACCAACAGTAACAACATGCTGGACACTGACCAACATGACCAGCAGTAACAACATGCTGGACACTGACCAACATGACCATCAGTAACAACATGCTGGACACTGACCAACATGACCAGCAGTAACAACATGCTGGACACTGACCAACATGACCAGCAGTAACAACATGCTGGACACTGACCAACATGACCAGCAGTAACAACATGCTGGACACTGACCAACATGACCAGCAGTAACAACATGCTGGACACTGACCAATACGGTCACACTATACCCAAGGTGACCTGTTTACACTGAGACAATATACAAGGACGCAGCGCCACCACCTGCCAACGACCAAGAGGTATGGTTCTCTCTGGAGCACCGTCAGTGTTGTTGGCATACCACGAGGGAGAAGCTACTGTGAGAGACATCAGTGGGAGTGAGACATCCCCAGCATCCACACACTGACAACACCCCCAGCATCACAACACCCCCAGCACCACCACGCCCCAGCATCACAACACCCCCAGCATCACAACACCCCCAGCATCACCACACCCCAGCATCACCACACCCCCAGCATCACAACACCCCCAGCATCACAACACCCCCAGCATCACCACACCCCAGCATCACAACACCCCCAGCATCACAACACCCCCAGCATCACCACACCCCCAGCATCAGAACACCCCCAGCATCACCACACCCCAGCATCACAACACCCCCAGCATCACAACACCCCTAGCATCACCACACCCCGAGCATCACCACACTCCCAGCATCACCACACCCCCAGCATCACAACACCCCCAGCATCACAACACCCCCAGCATCACAACACCCCTAGCATCACCACACCCCGAGCATCACCACACTCCCAGCATCACCACACCCCCAGCATCACAACACCCCCAGCATCACAACACCCCCAGCATCACAACACTCCCAGCATCACAACACCCCCAGCATCCACACACTGACCACACCCCCAGCATCACCACACCCCCAGCATCACAACACCCCCAGCATCACCACACCCCAGCATCACAACACCCCCAGCATCACAACACCCCCAGCATCACAACACCCCCAGCATCACCACACCCCCAGCATCACAACACCCCCAGCATCACAACACCCCCAGCATCACAACACCCCTAGCATCACAACACCCCCAGCATCACAACACCCCCAGCATCACAACACCCCCAGCATCACAACACCCCCAGCATCACAACACCCCCAGCATCACAACACCCCCAGCATCACCACACCCCCAGCATCACCACACCCCCAGCATCACAACACCCCCAGCATCACCACACCCCCAGCATCACAACACCCCCAGCATCACAACACCCCCAGCATCACAACACCCCCAGCATCACAACACATCCAGCATCACAACACCCCCAGCATCACCACACCCCCAGCATCACCACACCCCCAGCATCACAACACCCCCAGCATCACCACACCCCCAGCATCACCACACCCCCAGCATCACCACACCCCCAGCATCACAACACCCCCAGCATCACCACACTCCCAGCATCACAACACCCCCACCATCACAACACCCCCAGCATCACCACACCCCAAGCATCACCATACTCCCAGCATCACAACACCCCCACCATCACAACACCCCTAGCATCACCACACCCCCAGCATCACAACACCCCCAGCATCACCACACCCCCAGCATCACCACACTCCCAGCATCACAACACCCCCAGCATCACAACACCCCCAGCATCACCACACCCCAGCATCACAACACCCCCAGCATCACAACACCCCCACCATCACCACACCCCCAGCATCACCACACCCTCAGCATCACAACACCCCCAGCATCACAACACCCCCAGCATCACAACACTCCCAGCATCACCACACCCCCAGCATCACCACACCCCAGCATCACAACACCCCCAGCATCACAACACTCGCAGCATCACCACACCCCAGCATCACAACACCCCCAGCATCACAACACTCCCAGCATCACCACACCCCCAGCATCACCACACCCCAGCATCACAACACCCCCAGAATCACAACACCCCCAGCATCACCACACCCCAGCATCACAACACCCCCAGCATCACCACACCCCCAGCATCACAACACCCCCAGCATCACAACACCCCCAGCATCACAACACCCCCAGCATCACAACACCCCCAGCATCACCACACCCCAGCATCACAACACCCCCAGCATCACCACACTCCCAGCATCACCACACCCCAGCATCACAACACCCCCAGCATCACAACACTCCCAGCATCACCACACCCCCAGCATCACCACACCCCAGCATCACAACACCCCCAGCATCACCACACCCCAGCATCACAACACCCCCAGCATCACAACACCCCCAGCATCACAACACCCCCAGCATCACAACACCCCCAGCATCACCACACCCCAGCATCACAACACCCCCAGCATCACAACACCCCCAGCATCACAACACCCCCAGCATCACCACACCCCAGCATCACAACACCCCCAGCATCACAACACCCCCCCAGCATTACAACACCCCCACCACCACAACCCAAGCATCACAACACCCCCAGCATCACAACACCCCCACCACCACAACCCAAGCATCACAACCTACACATATATAATAATAATCAATGTTGTTGTTGCGACACAGTTGGATGGTTGAGCCAAGATAACTCTTCCCCCGCAGGGTGACAGTGGCGGGCCCCTGGTGGCTCAGGTGTGCCCTGGTCGCTGGGTGCAGGTGGGCGTCGTCAGCTACGGGTTCGGGTGTGCTGTACCCAACAACCCCGGAGTGAACACCAGAGTTTCCGCTTACGCTGACTGGATCACCCAGAACACCGGCTCCGCCACCTGCTGAATGTGTCTGCTCATCCTCTTGCCTGCACCTGCGGTGTGTGGTAGACTGAGCACACCCTCTACCACCACCACTACCAGCTGACCACACCCACTACCACCACCACCACCACCAGACCACACCCACTACCAACACCACCAGCTGACCACACCCACTACCACCACCACACCACCAGACCACACCCACTACCACCACCACCAGCTGACCACACCCACTACCACCACCACCAGCTGACCACACCCACTACCACCACCACCAGCTGACAACACCCACTACCACCACCACCAGCTGACCACACCCACTACCACCACCACCACCACCACCACACCCACTACCACCACCACCAGCTGACCACACCCACTACCACCACCACCACCAGACCACACCCATTACCACCACCAGCTGACCACACCCACTACCACCACCACCACCAGACCACACCCACTACCACCACCACCACCACCAGACCACACCCACTACCACCACCACCACCAGACCACACCCACTACCACCACCAGCTGACCACACCCACTACCACCACCACCACCAGACCACACCCACTACCACCACCACCACCACCAGACCACACCCACTACCACCACCACCAGCTGACCACACCCACTACCACCCCCACCACCTGACCACACCCACTACCACCACCACCACCACCAGACCACACCCACTACCACCACCACCAGCTGACCACACCCACTACCACCACCACCACCACCAGACCACACCCACTACCACCACCACCACCACCAGACCACACCCACTACCACCACCACCAGACCACACCCACTACCACCACCACCAGCTGACCATACCCACTCCCACCACCACCACCTGACCACACCCACTACCACCACCACCACAACCATACCCACTACCACCACCACCACCAGCTGACCACACCCACTACCACCACCACCAGCTGACCACACCCACTACCACCACCACCACCAGACCACACCCACTACCACCACCACCACCAGACCACACCCACTACCACCACCACCAGCTGACCATACCCACTCCCACCACCACCAGCTGACCACACCCACTACCACCACCACCAGTTGACCATACCCACTACCACCACCACCACCAGCTGATCACACCCACTACCACCACCAGCTGACCACACCCTCTACCACCACCACCACCAGACCACACCCACTACCACCACCACCACCAGACCACACCCACTACCACCACCACCAGCTGACCACACCCACTACCACCACCACCACCAGACCACACCCACTACCACCACCACCACCAGACCACACCCACTACCACCACCACCACCAGACCACACCCACTACCACCACCACCACCACTACCACACCCACTACCACCACCACCACCAGACCACACCCACTACCACCACCACCACCACACCACACCCACTACCACCACTACCACCACCTGACCACACCCACTACCACCACCACCAGCTGACCACACCCACTACCACCACCACCACCAGACCACACCCACTACCACCACCACCACCAGACCACACCCACTACCACCACCACCACCAGACCACACCCACTACCACCACCACCACCAGACCACACCCACTACCACCACCACCACCAGACCACACTCACTACCACCACCACCACCAGACCACGCCCACTACCACCACCACCAGCTGACCACACCCACTACCACCACCACACCAGACCACACCCACTACCACCACCAGCTGACCACACCCACTACCACCACCAGCTGACCACACCCTCTACCACCATCAGCTGACCACACCCACTACCACCACCACCACCACCAGACCACACCCACTACCACCACCACCAGCTGACCACACCCACTACCACCACCACCACCAGACCACACCCACTACCACCACCACCAGCTGACCACACCCACTACCACCACCACCACCAGCTGACCACACCCACTACCACCACCACCAGCTGACCACACTCACTACCACCACCAGCTGACCACACCCACTACCACCACCACCACCAGACCACACCCACTACCACCACCACCACCAGACCACACCCACTACCACCACCAGCTGACCACACCCACTACCACCACCACCACCAGACCACACCCACTACCACCACCACCAGACCACACCCACTACCACCACCAGCTGACCACACCCACTACCACCACCACCACCTGACCACACCCTCTACCACCACCACCACCAGACCACACCCACTACCACCACCACCACCAGACCACACCCACTACCACCACCAGCTGACCACACCCACTACCACCACCACCACCAGACCACACCCACTACCACCTCACAACCCACACCCACTACCACCACCACCACCAGACCACACCCTCTACCACCACCACCACCAGACCACACCCACTACCACCACCACCACATGACCACACCCACTACCACCACCACCACCACCACCACACCCACTACCACCACCACCACCAGACGACACCCACTACCACCACCACCTGACCACACCCACTACCACCACCACCACCACCACCACACCCACTACCACCACCACCACCAGACCACACCCACTACCACCACCACTGACCACACCCACTACCACCACCACCACCAGACCACACCCACTACCACCACCACCAGACCACACCCACTACCACCACCAGCTGACCACACCACACTACCACCACCACCACCAGACCACACCCTCTACCACCACCACCACACACCACCACACCCACTACCACCACCACCACCACCACCACACCCACTACCACCACCACCACCACCAGACCACACCCACCACCACCACCACCACCACCAGACCACACCCACTACCACCACCACCACCACCACACCCACTACCACCACAACCAGCTGACCACACCCACTACCACCACCACCACCAGACCACACCCACTACCACCACCACCACCACCAGACCACACCCACTACCACCACCACCACCACCAGACCACACCCACTACCACCACCACCACCACCAGACCACACCCACTACCTCCACCACCACCACCAGACCACACCCACTACCACCAGCACCAGCTGACCACACCCACTACCACCACCAGACCACACCCACTACCACCACCACCACCAGACCACACCCACTACCACCACCACCACCAGACCACACCCACTACCACCACCACCAGACCACACCACTACCACCACCACCACACCACCACCCACACCACCACCACCACCACACCACCACCCACCACACACACTACCACCACCACCACCAGACCACACCCATTACCACCACCACCACCACCACCACACCACACCCACTACCACCACCACCACCACCAGACCACACCCCACCACCACCACCACCACCACCAGACCACACCCACTACCTCCACCACCACCACCAGACCACACCCACCACCACCACCACCACCACCACCACACCCACTACCACCACCAGACCACACCCACCACACCACCACCACCACCAGACCACACCCACTACCACCACCACCAGACCACACCCACTACCACCACCACCAGACCACACCCACTACCACCACCACCAGACCACACCCACTACCACCACCACCACCAGACCACACCCACTACCACCACCACCACCAGACCACACCCACTACCACCACCACCACCACCAGACCACACCCACTACCACCACCACCACCACCAGACCACACCCACTACCACCACCACCACCACCAGACCACACCCACTACCTCCACCACCACCACCAGACCACACCCACTACCACCACCACCAGCTGACCACACCCACTACCACCACCAGACCACACCCACTACCACCACCACCACCAGACCACACCCACTACCACCACCACCACCACACCACACCCACTACCACCACCACCAGACCACACCCACTACCACCACCACCAGACCACACCCACTACCACCACCACCACCAGACCACACCCACTACCACCACCACCACCAGACCACACCCATTACCACCACCACCACCACCAGACCACACCCACTACCACCACACCACACACCACCACACCACACCCACTACCACCACCACCACCAGACCACACCCACTACCACCACCACCAGCTGACCACACCCACTACCACCACCAGACCACACCCACTACCACCACCCACCACCAGACCACACCCACTACCACCACCACCACCACCAGACCACACCCACTACCACCACCACCACCACCACCACACAGACCACACCACTACCACCACCACCACCACCAGACCACACCCACCACCACCACCACCACCACCACCACCAGACCACACCCACTACCACCACACACCACCACCACCACCACCACACCCACTACCACCACCACCACCACCACCCACACCCACTACCACCACCACCACCAGACCACACCCACTACTACTACCACCACCAGACCACACCCACTACCACCACCACCACCTGACCACACCCACTACCACCACCAGACCACACACACTACCACCACCACCACCACCAGACCACACCCACTACCTCCACCACCACCACCACCAGACCAACACCCACTACCACCACCACCACCTGACCACACCCACTACCACCACCACCAGACCACACCCACTACCACCACCACCACCACCAGACCACACCCTACCACCACCACCACCAGACCACACCCACTACCACCACCACCAGACCACACCCACTACCACCACCACCACCACCACACCCACTACCACCACCACCACCAGACCACACCCACTACCACCACCACCACCAGACCACACCCACCACCACCACCACCACCACCACCACCACACCCACTACCACCACCACCACCACCAGACCACACCCACTACCACCACCACCACCACCAGACCACACCCACTACCTCCACCACCACCACCACCACCACACCCACTACCACCACCACCAGCTGACCACACCCACTACCACCACCACACCACACCCACTACCACCACCACCACCACCACCACACCCACTACCACCACCACCACCACCACCACACCCACTACCACCACCACCACCAGACCACACCCACCACCACCACCACCACCACCAGACCACACCCACTACCACCACCACCACCACCAGACCACACACACTACCACCACCACCACCACCACCACCACACCCACTACCACCACCACCAGCTGACCACACCCACTACCACCACCACCACACCCACTACCACCACCACCACCAGACCACACCCACTACCACCACCACCACCACCAGACCACACCCACTACCACCACCACCACCACCACCAGACCACACCCACTACCACCACCACCACCACCAGACCACACCCACTACCACCACCACCACCACCACCACCACACACACCCACCACCACCCACACCACCACCACCAGACCACACCCACTACCACCACCACCACCACCAGACCACACCCACTACCACCACCACCACCAGACCACACCCACTACTACTACCACCACCAGACCACACCCACTACCACCACCACCAGCTGACCACACCCACTACCACCACCAGACCACACCCACTACCACCACCACCACCAGACCACACCCACTACCACCACCACCACCACCAGACCACACCCACTACCACCACCACCACCAGACCACACCCACTACCACCACCACCACCACCAGACCACACCCACTACCACCACCACCACCAGACCACACCCACCACCACCACCACCACCAGACCACACTCACTACCACCACCACCACCACCACCACCAGACCACACACCACTCCCACCACCACCAGACCACACTCACTACCACCACCAGCTGACCACACCCACTACCACCACTACCACCACCACCACCACCAGACCACACCCACTACCACCACCACCACCACCAGACCACACCCACTACCACCACCACCACCACCAGACCACACCCACTACCACCACCACCACCACCAGACCACACCCACTACCACCACCACCAGACCACACCCACTACCACCACCACCACCAGACCACACCCACTACCACCACCACCACCAGACCACACCCACTACCACCACCACCAGCTGACCACACCCACTACCACCACCAGACCACACCCACTACCACCACCACCACCAGACCACACCCACTACCACCACCACCACCACCAGACCACACCCACTACCACCACCACCACCACCAGACCACACCCACTACTACTACCACCACCAGACCACACCCACTACCACCTCCCAGTGGTCAACACGGACCTCACCTACACTTTCAGCTCCACTACAAACTTTCCACACTGGAGACCAAAGGACAAATTTATGAAAGTGTTAAAAAATTCTGTCAGATACAATCTGGTTCCTGTGAAATAAAACACGACCAAAATGATAAACAATGTTTTATTAGGGAGTGGTCCTTGTGGGAGCCTGGCTACCACCTACTTGTCCCCCCGAGGTTATCTTGAGACGATTTCGGGGTTTTAGTGTCACCGCGGCCCGGTCCTCGACCAGGCCTCCTCGACCAGGCCTCCACCCAACCCGTTCTCAGATCCTGGCGTTACTAAGCTTTTTCTCACTGGATTAACGTGTGTATACAACCCAGCAGCAATATTATCTGCTTATTCCAGCTGCAATATTATCTGCAGATGTATTATTTGCTTATTGTATTGAATGTTAGTAAATGGTGTCGGGTTTTCCGACAGGTGGGAGCCGGTCGGCCGAGCGGACAGCACACTGGACTTATGATCCTGTGGTCCCGGGTTCGATCCCGGGCGTCGGCGAGGAACAATGGGCAGAGTTTCTTTCACCCTATGCCCCTGTTACGTAGCAGTAAAATAGGTACCTGGGTGTTAGTCACCTCTCACGGGCTGCTTCCTGGTGGTGGAGGCAACCCGTTCTCGCAAATTCGTAAAGTCAATATTGACTTTACGAATTTGCGAGAACGGGTTGCCACGAAGTCAGAGAGCAACAAGCAGACTCGCCCAGTAAAACCTTTGAGATTGCGAGACATTCAGTGAATCTCTGCAAAGGAGAAAAAGGTTTTCCAACACCAGGAACGCAAGTATTGGAAGTTGCACCATAATGGGAAAAAAGAACGCAAGTTCAGTATAGGTGACAAGGTAATTTTGTTACTTCCCACCAGCAGGAACAAGCTCTTGCTGCAGTAGAAGGGCCCATTCACGGTAGTGGAGTGCTCACACTCGTTAAACTACGTGCTCGATGTCGATGGTGCCAAGAAGTACCACGTCAACATGCTCAAACGCTACGAGAACCCACCTGTAGATGGATCCACAAAGCCGAAGAAGCATGGAGGACGTAAGAACAGAAGATCACGGGGCTCAATATCGACAGGACCGATCGACCACCCACTACACTCAGCAACGATCACCGGTGTCTCAGTGATAACCGACGATGAGAAGGAAGGTAAACCAGGTCTCTTCAATCAACAACAGCAGGAAACACATCGAGATGTTAAGTTTGATGATCAGTTGTCTGAAGATCAAGTCGACCAGGTTACTCGACTCGTAGCAGAGAACAAAAAGGCACTCTCTGACGTCACTAAAGTAGCAAAGGTGGAGGGTTACCGCATACCTTTGCTTGAGCAGCAAGCGGTACGCTCAAAACCATATCCTGTTCCTAATCACCTTGTTCCTCAGGTGAGAGAAGAACTGGGATCTATGATTAACGCGGGAGTAATAGAGAAGTCGACCTCACCGTACTCAAGCCCCATGGTGTTAGTAAAGAAGCCTGGGGGAGGTGTGCGCATCTGCCTCGACTTCAGGAAGTTGAACTCCATCATAGTTTGATGCTGAACCGATGTTCAATCAAAATGAGATCTTCTCGAGGTTAGCTTCCAGTTGCTATTTCTCCAAGCTCGAGCTGACAAAAGGATTTTGGCAGACTCCACTAGATGAAGACAGTCAGCGCTGCACTGCCTTCATGACAAGCGAAGGTCTCTTCCAGTTCACAGTCCTCCCGTTTGGACTGATGAACGCCCCGGCCGTGTTCAACAGAACTATGCGCAAGAACTTTAGGGAATTACTGGAGTAGAAGTGATCATGAACGATGTGCTCATCCACTCTGTTACATGGGAAGAACATCTGAGCTTGCTAAGGCAGGTGTTCGCAAGACTACAAGAAGTTGGAATGGTTGCAAAACCCACTAAGTGTGAGTTGGGGTGGAAGGAAGTCAGGTACCTTGGTCACGTGATAGGGGGAGGGTTCACCAGGCCGCTGCCTGAGGAGGTCACTAAGGTTAGTGAAGCCGCTCCACCCGCCACCAAGACTCAGGTTAAGTCTGTCGGAAAATAATAACTATAAGTTACCCTTAAAGAAAAAGAGAATGGGTGTTCCGTGACGTCATCACACAACACGGAAATTATATTAAATCTCATTTCCTTTAAACCACAGTTTAGTGTTTAAACTTAATAAAAAACTATTCACTAGGACTGAACATAATTAAATAAAGAAGAAATTTAGCTTGACTCTCTATTCCTTGAGACATAAATAGAACCAACCAATAATGTTGGAACGCCAGCTCTGGGGAGGGAGGCGACAGGCATAAACACAGCAACATGTAAACAAGACACAAGAAAAAGGACTCCTGGAGATTGTGACACGCATCACGCACGATAGACAACTTACTCTATTACTTACAGAAACTTTCTGCCTCTTATGCTCAGCCAGGGGCTACAAACGCTGCCATGGCACTCTCATTAGACCTGGAGGACTCAGGAGGGCAAGAAAGTGTAGAAGAAAAAGTTGACACAGTTTCTGCAGCAACAACTAGTGGTTTAAAGTGTTTTTTTTGTGGTCGCACTCGAGATCCTCGCAGTCGATGTCCAGCTAGAGAGGCTCTGTGTATGAACTGCAAGAAAAAGTGTCATTATGCTAAGATCTGGTGATCTCTGAAACAGACTAACAGTGCTTCAAACACCCAACATTCCGCTGCTATGCTCGCTACTTTAGCTGGGATTTCGCCCTCATGTCTCAATAAATCAGTGCTTAGTTCTAAGAGCAATGGTATTCCAGTCAGTGCACTGATTGACACAGGTAGCTCTGAGAACTTTATTCATAAGAATATTGCCGAGCAGAGTGGGTTACTCGTCTATCCTGACAATGGGGCAGTTTCTATAGCTACTGTATCGTTCTCTTCAAAATTCCTGGGTCAGTGTTCTGTAGACTTAGAATTGCAAGGAGAAACTTACCATGGTGTGAATCTCAAAGTTTTACCCGATTTGTGTGCTGATGTGATTTCAGGCCATAACTTTTTACAAAATCATTTTGTGCTCGAAATAGCTTTTGAAGGATATCGACCTCCTCTTAGAATATGTGGATTAACTGCCGCCAAAGTTCCGGCTCCATCTCTCTTCAGTAATTTAGCACCAGACTGCAAGTCGATTGCTGTAAAATCCAGACGCTATTCTGAGGCTGACAAGTTGTTTATTGAATCTGAGACCGCTCGGATGCTACGTGAAGAGATAATTAGACCCAGTCGTTCTCCATGGAGTGCCCAGGTATTAGTAATTAAAGGAGAACATCACAAGAAAAGAATGGCTGTAGACTATTCGCAAACAATCAACCGATTCACGGGGTTGGATGCCTACCCCTTACCACATATAGATGAGATTGTGAATAATGTTGCTAGATTTAAAGTATACAGCACGCCAGACTTGAGAAGTGCTTACCAACAAGTGGGTTTAACAGAGGAAGAAAAACCCTATACAGCCTTTGAAGCTTGCGGGAAGCTTTTTGAATTTAATCGTATCCCATTTGGGGTCACTAATGGAGTGGCCAGTTTTCAAATAGTAATTGATGGCATCCTCGAGAAAGAAGGAGTGAAGGGCACCTTTGCTTATGTAGATGATGTCTGTGTGTGTGGAGATTCTGAAGAAGAACATGATAAAAATCTGAAACATTTTATGTACGTTGCAAGAAGGTATAACCTGACCCTGAATCTTGAGAAGTGTAGTTTTCGACTCCGGTCTATAAAGCTGTTGGGATATCTTATACAAGAAGGAGAAAATCGGCCTGACCCAGAACGCCTCGAGCCACTGTTAAAACTTCCACTACCAAGCAACACAGGTTCTTTACGCAGAACAATGGGAATGCTTGCACATTACTCCCGTTGGGTGCTGGGTTTTTCTGAGAAGATCCGTCCTCTCTCTCATGCCAATGGTTTTCCCTTATCTGCTGCTGCTGCGAAAGCTTTTGAAGGATTGAAACAAGACATTGCTGAGGCAGTGGTTCGTGCAATCGACCCAACAGCTCCTTTCGCTGTGGAAACTGATGCTTCAGATCATGCTATTGCCGCTACCCTAACCCAGAATGACCAACCAGTAGCTTTCTTCTCCCGAACACTTTCAAATAGTGAACAAAGGCACTCATCAGTGAAGAAGGAAGCTTATGCCATTGTGGAAGCCCTAAGGAAGTGGCGATACTATCTCATTGGACGCCATTTTCGGCTTGTGACTGACCAGCGCAGTGTTGCTTTTATGTTCAACTCTAAATCAGCTGATAAGATTAAAAATGATAAAATTGCTAGATGGCGAGTCGAACTCTCCTGTTACCACTATGACACTGTATATCGCCCAAGTAAACAGAACATACCCACTGATGCATTCTCACGTGTATGTGGTGCCACCAATGTGGATGAACTAAAGGAATTGCATGACAATCTGTGTCACCCTGAAGTGTCTCGTATGGCTCATTTTGACCGATGTCGAAATCTGCCTTATTCTGTGGAAGAACTGAAGAAGATGACTAATTCTTGCTCTGCGTTCTCTGAACTTAAACCTCGGTTTTGCAAGTTTGACTGTGGACATTTGATTAAAGCTACTCAGCCATTTGAAAGACTCAAAATAGATTTTAAAGGACCACTTACATCACATTCAAGGAATAAATATATTCTTACAGTTGTAGATGAATTCTCTAGATTCCCTTTTGCATTCCCTTGTTCAGATATGACTACTGGGACAGTAATTCAGTGCCTGGTGCAGTTGTTTGCAATCTTTGGTATGCCTGCATATATACACTCTGATAGGGGAACTTCCTTTATGTCTGTGTTGAAAAACTTTCTACTCAAAAAAGGGGTAGCAACTAGCATTACGACTCTTTACAGTCCTAAAGGAAATGGCCAGCCTGAGAAGTACAATGGGATTATTTGGAAGACAGTGCTGCTAGCTCTTAGGACGAGAGGCTTAGATGTATCCCAATGTGAAGTTGTTCTTCCTGATGCACTCCACTCTATTCGATCATTGTTGTGCACCTCTACAAATTGTACACCATATAAACGATTCTTCCGGCATACAAGAAGGTCTACTTCAGGGCGAACTCTACCTACGTGGCTTGCTTGCAGAGGCCCTGTCCTCTTAAAATGTCAAGTGCGGCAAAGCAAAAATGATCCTCTAGTTGATGAGGTTGAGGTCGTAGACGTGAATCCGGAATAAGCCCATGTCAAGTTTCCAGATGGCAGGATTACTACTGTATCATTACGACACCTCGCACCTATCGCCACAGAGGGCTGCGAGAGTTTGGACCCCAATCTCAACATTCAACAGCAACACCCAGCGATTGCGAAAGATGGGGTAAACCCCAACCCGCCTCATCCTGAACTACTTAGTCCCGAACCACCTAACCTAGAAACACCTAATTAGGAACCTTTCTCTGACGTAACACTCCCTCGAGAAGGTGGTATGCAGGAACCGTCTGGAAGACTAGAGGCTTCAACTTTGCAGGAGTCCCTTCGACGATCTGGAAGGACGCGCCGTACCTCTACACATCTGCAGGACTATGTTACTTAAAGCTAGATGGGGTGAATGTAGTAAAAGTGTTATATATTATCGTACCTGATGGATGCTCGCTTGACTTGTTTGTATCGTCAGATCAGCTGAATCGTGCTTGTGTACAGGTTTGTGTAATGTTAACTTCTAGTTTAATTTCTGTATATTCTAGCTTAGTCTTGTGCAGTTGGCTTATTGTTATAGTGAATAGACAGTGCTTAAACTGTGTATAAGTATAGTGTATTAATGGCTTGTGTTATTGCAGGATGTAACTGTACTGTAATTATTTGATCAATAAAGCCACATGTCTGGCGACGCTTCTCTTTCACCTCAAGTATTATTCACAGTAAATCAAATCAAATCAAATCAAATGTTTATTTAGGTAAGGTACATACATACAAGAGATTTTACAAAGAATGATGGATTTATAGATAGAGCTAGTACATACAATGCCTAAAGCCACTATTACGCAAAGCGTTTCGGGCATAAAAAACTTAAATGACTAAAGCTTAATACTAATTGAGCATAATGAGTAAAATGAAAACATGGAATGAAAACATAGCTGAAAAAGCAGCACAAATACAATTCTGTCGACAAACAGCGCTCTTTAAAAAAAACAGACATTGGTTGACAATAGAGGGGTAAGGTAGGTTACAGGGAATTTATTAGATATAGCTTCGTTTTTATCTTAAACTGGTTGAGAGAGGTACAGTCTATAACATGGTTGGGAAGGTCATTCCACAATCTGGGTCCCTTGATTTGTAGAGCATTTCTAGTTTGATTAAGTCGTACTCTAGGAATATCAAAACTATTTATTTCTGGTGTGGTGCTCATGGGTTCTGTTACAACCTTCAATGAAGCTTTTGAGGTCAGGATTGGCATTACAGTTTAGCATTTTATATATGTATAATACACATGAGAGAATGTGCAGTGACTTAATATCTAACATATTCAGAGATTTGAGTATGGGTACCGAGTGATGTCTGGGGCCAGAATTGGATATTGTCCTAATAGCAGCTTTGTGTTGAGTAATTACAGGACGTAAATGATTTTGGGTAGTAGAACCCCAAGCACAAATACCATAGTTGAGATATGGATAGATGAGGGAGTAATAGAGAGTCACCAGGGCAGGGCGGGGTACATAATATCTGATCTTAGAAAGAATGCCAACAGTTTTTGAAACTTTTTTGATATATTTAGAATGTGTCCCTGGAAATTCAGCTTGTGGTCAATGAGAATGCCAAGGAATTTGCCATCTAATTTGTTACAAATTTGGGTATTGTTTATTTTGAGATTTATTTGATTAGAGGATTTATTGCCAAACAGAATATAGAAAGTTTTGTCAATGTTAAGGGTGAGTTTGTTGGCAGTTAGCCAAAGATGGACTTTATTTAGCTCAGTATTTACTGTGGCATTTAGAGCAAGGGGGTCAGGACTGGAGTAAATGAAGGTTGTGTCGTCAGCAAATAGAATTGGTTTGAGGTGTTGGGAGGCATTTGGAAGGTCATTAATGTAGATGAGAAAGAGGAGAGGGCCAAGTATGCTGCCCTGAGGAACACCAATGTTGATGGGTAGGGTGGGAGAAATTGAATTATTCACAGAAACATACTGGAGCCTGTCAGTAAGGTAGGATTTGAGGTATTGCATGGAGTGTCCTCTGACTCCATAATGATATAATTTAAGAAGAAGGTTTTGGTGGTTGACAGTGTCAAAAGCCTTACGCAGGTCCACAAATAACCCAACAGGGAACTCATTTTTATCAAGAGCTGTATGAATCGAGTTAAGCATACTAATAAGTGCATCGTTAGTGCTTTTTTGGGGTCTGAAGCCATATTGGCAAGGGCTAAGTATATTGTGTTTGGCTAGATAAGAGTAAAGCTGCTTATAGATTAGTTTTTCAAAAATTTTTGACAAGTTAGGCAGGATTGATATAGGTCTGTAGTTGTTAACATCTGTGAGATCACCACATTTGTGTACAGGGGTAACTCTCGCTTTTTTTAGAATATCTGGAAAGGTTTGGAGTTCAAGTGACTTGTTGAAGAGCAATGCAATAGCAGGGGCTAAAGATCTGGAGGCTTTTTTGTAAATTAAAGTTGGTATCTCCTCAAGGGAACTAGACTTTGTTTTAAGGGAAAGGATTATCTCATTGACGTCAGGGGAATTAGTAGGCTTTAGGTACAGAGACTGTGGATAGTTACCTGTAAGATAGTCCTTAACGTCAGTACTGGAAGATGGAATATCATTTGCAAGGGATGACCCAATGGAAGAGAAGAACCTATTGAACTCAACAGCAGAATCTGAGGCTGAAAGCTGACCATCGTTATTGGACAGGAGTGTTGGTTTGTTAATTAAAGTCTTCTTTGATCCCAATATTTGTGAAATTGTGCTCCAAGTTTTTTTAATGTTGCTCTTTATTTGGGTAAATTTATCTTCGTAGTATTTAGTTTTGGCTCGTCTAATTATCTTAGATAGCAATAATGAGTAATTCTTTGAGAATTCTTTGGAGACAATTCCTAACCTATACTTCTTCTCAAGGTTATGTTTTTTATTAATGGATTTAAGTATTCCCTTTGTAAGCCAGGGATTGTTAAGTCTTTTGGTTGTGACTTGTTTTATAAGCATAGGACAGTGGGTGTTATAAAGGCTAAGAGTTTTTTGAAGAAAAGATTGCACTGCTAGATTGATGTCCCCTATGTTACCTAACTCGGATTCCCAGTTGACATTATCAGCAGCAGTTATAAAATTGTCTATAGCAGTTTCATTGTGCAGCCTAAAACTTAACTACCTTGACTCTAGAGGTGGTTTGCTAATGTTAGTTAAGAGAAATGTGGGGGTAATGGTCTGTAGTGCTATCGGTGATTATACCTGAAGTAAACGGAGAGGTTATGTTTGTCCAGATGTGATCTAGAGTCGTGGCAGTACTATCAGTGATTCTAGTTGGTCTAGTGATTAAGGGTATGAGGAAGCAGGAATTCATACAGTTGAGGAAGCTAACAGCAGTAGGGTGTTCAGGCTCGCAGAGGTCAATATTAAAGTCCCTTGCGATAATTAGATGGTTTTTGTTCAGTCTGTTATCGAGTATTAGATTTCTAAGGTTTGAGTTGAATTCGGACACATCAGTGTTAGGAATTCTATAGACTGCACCCACAGACAGGACAGACTCGGCACCCTTGACTCTGAAGCTGGCGAAGATATACTCCCCACAGTAGTCTCTAGTTCTAATTTCTTTTAAGCATGTTAGTTCTTGGTGGTAGTAAAGAGTAGTGCCACCACCTCTCTGAAGTTGACGACAGTTGTGAATTGCCGAGTAGTTAGGCATGTTAAAGAGTTGAGTAGTATCCTCTTTCAACCATGTTTCAGTAAGTATAATAAAAGAGAATTTGTTGTCAATAGTTTCAATCAAGTCACTAACATCATCGAAGTGTTTACCTAGGGATCTAACGTTCAAGTTGATTACAGAGATATTGTGATTATGAGTTAGTATTGTAGATTAGGCCACCATATGTGGTATAATTTATATTGAAAACTAGGTAAACAATTGCAATTGATAAATTATCCACTTCATGGTGGTATAGGTTGCAATTGTCCCTCCAAATGTGTGTAAGTAAGATTCTGGCAGGCTGAATCAAAATATGCAGTCCACTAGCATCAAAATAATAATAATTTTAAAGTTAACTAAAAAATAATAAAATAAAAAGAAAAAGAAATAAATGCCTGCTAGGATTTTCAAACATGAGTTTGGTTCTTCAAACCGGGATTGTCTAGTCTAGGCAACCAGACTATTTAACATAAATTAATTAGTGCAATATACACATATATAGAAATTATAGCAGGAAGAAACTGCTATACAATTTTCTTGCCAATTTTTTTTTAACCTCGGTTAATAGTGAACAGAACTTACAGCAAGCACTATCATATTGTTTCAAGGCCTGAACTAAAAGAACAATTGTGTTTTTTCATTACAAGAGGTTGATAAGAGGTTAATTTAACCCATAAATGTATATATAATTTTAAGTGTTTACATATAAATAAATAATTTGTTATTCAGGTAAGGTACATACATACAAGGTAAGATACAAAAGTTGATGGATTTATAGATAGATCTAGTACATACAATGCCTAAAGCCACTATTACGCAAGGCATTTCGGGCAGGAAAAACACTAAGACTAAAACTTAATACTAATTGAGATTAAAGTATAAATTGTGTTGAGAAAAAATAAGAAAAGAATGGAAAAAAGGGGGGGGGGGAAACATGGCAGAAAAAAGCAAAATACAATTTGGTCAACAAAACAGCATTGTTTAAAATAGAAGACATGGGTTGACATTTTTGGGGTGAGATAGGTTACATAGAGTTAATTAGGTAGTACTTAGTTTTTATCTTAAACTGGTTGGGAGAGGTACAGTCTTTAACATAATTGGGAAGGTCATTCCACATTCGAGGTCCCTTGATTAGTAAAGCATTTCTAGTTTGAGTCGTACTCTTGGAATATCAAATAGGTATTTGTTTCTGGTGTGGTTCTCATGGGTTCTGTTACAATCTTCTAGGAAGCTTTTAAGGTCAGGACTGGCATTACAGTTCAGCATTTTATATATATAAAATACACATGAGAGGATGTGCAGGGACTTAATATCTAACATATTCAAAGATTTGAGTAAGGGTACCGAG